GTTCGAAAAAATCACATTATAATTTATACTGAAGAATAATATGCAGGCATTAAGGTGATAAAGTAGAGGAATATGTAATGATATGCCCCAACAGTTGTAAGGGGTGGGGGTAAAGAAAGATCTTATAAAAGGAAAGGGGCTTTTCTCTCCATGGAAGGGAGAACTGTCTATTTTGTAACAAAAACCCAAAACCCATTGCTGTCGAGTCGATTCCAACTCATAGTGACCCTATAGGACAGAGTAGAACTGCTCCATAGGGTTTCCAAGGAGCGCCTGGTGGATTCAAACTGCCAGCTTTCTGGTTAGCAGCCGAACTCTTAACCACTATGCCACCGGAGTTTCCTGTCTATTTTACAATGAATAAGAAGTAGCTTTAGTTAGGGGTCCAGAAAGTAAACTATTTAATAAATCCTCCTGCTATTTGTTTCCACTTCTATATGACACAGAGATCTAGCATTCTGTAACCCAGGCCCTTAGTACTCATTTGCAGTTGATTCTCATTATTCGTGGTAGTTATGCTCTATGAAGTCACTGTGAACATTGAATTAGGGAATACTGAACCATTGCTCTTATGGGAAATACAAGGTTAGACTCCATCCCCAGTGGACCAGTATATGGTTCAGGTTTTTCCCCTTTAAGTGCTCATGCATTTTGGGCTCTGTACACCATTAAGGATTTGCACTTAATGTCGCCCATGGCATTGGCGTACAATCGCAAGGTTGCATGGTCTTTGAATGATTTAAAGTCAAGAGTTTTGGAGACCATTTATCAACATCCTTGTAAAACAAACCAATCTTATCAGCATTGCAAATCTGCTTTCCACATAACCCTTTTCCTATATAACGCTTATAATGCTTAGCAGGTATTTAAGAAAAAATTCTTCTGTAGTCTCCTGGTCTGCAGAACCTGCCTTGTCTCTAAGTTTAACATATTTTGCTCTGGGCAGCCTTTTTTTTTTTTTTAACTGTGGTAAATGTGTATGTAACAAAACATTTGCCATTTCAACATTCTTCACATGTACAACCTAGTGACCTTAATTGCATTCATCATAGTGTCCAACTATCACCAATGTCTGTTTCCAACTTTTCCCATCACCCTTAACAGAAACTTCTGTATAGCCTTTCGAAATGTGTGTGTGTGTGCCAGCAATAGCCAAGAAGGGTTTAACATTCTCCTGACCACAGATAACTTGTCTACAAATTTCTCTGGCTTTCAGCCTTACAACATGGCTGTCCACTATGCTTTTTTAAAATTGATAAGTGATTCAAGTCCTCTTGAAGATCAAAGACTACAGCCTTCAGTAAGTGCTTCAAGTCCTCTTCACTCTCAGCAAGCAAGATTGTGTCACCTGCATATCAGTATGGACTACATACACCTCAACATAAAGAAAACAAAAATCCTCACAACTGGACCAATAAGCAATATTATGATAAATGGTGAAAAGATTGAAGTTGTCAAGGATTTCGTTTTACTTGGATCCATAATCAACACCCATGGAAGCAGCAGTCAAGAAATCAAATGATGTACTGCATTGGGCAAATCTGCTGCAAAAGACCTGTTTGAAGTGTTAAAAAGCAAAGATGTCACTTTGAAGACTACGGTGCATCTGATCCAAGCCATAGCGTTTTCAATTGCCTCATGCATGCAAAAGCTGGACAATGAACAAGGAAGACCAGAGAAGAATTGATGCATTTGAATTATGGTGTTGGTGAAGAATATTGAATATACCATGGACTGCTAGAAGAATGAACAAATCTGTCTTGCAAGAAGTACAGCCAGAATGTTCCTCAGAAGTGAGGATGACGAGAATTTGTCTCATGTACTTTGGCCATGATATCAGGAGGGACCAGTCCTTGGAGAAGGACATTATGCTCTGTAAAGTAGAGGGGTCAGTGAAAAAGAGAAAGACTGTCAGCGAGATGGACTGACACAGCGGCTGCAACAATTGGCTCAAATATAGCCACAATCTGAAGATGGTGCGGGACTGGCAGTGTTTCGTCCTGTTGTACACAGGGTTGCTATGAGTCGCAGTGGACACGGCACCTAACAACAACAACAACAACAACGTTGCGGGGCAAGTTACCTAACATCTCTGGTTTCAAAATCTGTCTTTTTAAAGAAAAAGAGTAGGAATCCTAGTACTAGTGCATCTCAGACACTGTAAGAAAATATGTCTTAGGGAATATATTTTAAAATACACACAATACTTATAAATGAATGCCTTTCAAACATAATTGTTAACTCTCAGGTACCTGATACACCCCACCTGTAATATTCACTGCTTATTTACCTTCTTCTAAAATAAAAGATACAATAAGTAAATGCAAACTTCAGCCTAGCTCAATCCAAACAGTTACAAAGTCTTACTCTTCTATTTTAGACTGACTGTCAAAATTATGGTAGGTGATAAGCATAAGAGCCGAGGAGTAGAATCATGCAGAATTTAAAAACCAAACTCAAACCTTTTTTTGATAACTAGAATAGGGCTCTCATTCCCTACCTCTCTGTGTCAGAGCTGAGTAAGGTTTCTGTGCCCCCTGACATTCTTGAGCTATTTCCTTTCTTTAAACATAGGGTAGAGTTTCTCCCATGACCCTGCTTGTTTCCTTGGAGAGCTTCACACAGAGGCTTTTGTGTAACAACGTTTGCTTTCATTAGCAAATGGATACATAGGAAGGAAAAGAATGAAGAGGGAGGCAACCGTCACACAATACCAACAGGCTGTAGTTAAATGTACCTTGTTTCCTTTGCTAAACTCCTAGCACAGATTTTCATTAGAACAGTTCTACATTCCTTCCTCCCACATTCCACCTTTGCGTTCTAAACCATTCACTCTAGGCCTCTTCCGTATAGCACTCTAAGGCTGAGAAAGCCTAGATTTGCATCACCTGTATTTTTTTTTGTTCTCAGTTTGATGTATGGTATTGCTATCAGAGAGAAGGGTATGCACTAGAGATTTGCATATTCTTGGAATAACCTACATTCTGCTTATAGTTTTGTTGTTCTTTATGCTGTTTTTAAGGTACATATTGGAGTTAAACTTAGTATCAACATTTTATTGGAAACTGTCTACCACAAATCAACAGTGTGAGCCCCAGAAAATTAAATATTAGTATACCAATATATGAGCTTTACAGTGGTGTTTTGGCCTTTATGGCAAAGTCATGGCAAGTACATATAGCACATATATAGTATATTAAGTAATGATTTTTTACATATACATAAGTGCAATGATAGGAAGGGGAATGGACATAATCATAGTTGAGGCCAGAAAAGATAAAAAAGCTCCTTTTACCTTATAAGATTGCTTAGAGCTCATTATTGCACCTGGAGGCAGGGAGCCAGGGCTGGGTAAAACAAAAAACCCTGAAGAATCTGGTGAGTTTGTTCTGTGGGGCTTCAGGCCTGCTTGCTTTAGGAATCACATTTCTATGCTCTTCAAACCCTTGGATTCATTCTGTTGATTTTTTGCCTTTTTTAAAAGCTCCGAAGTTGATTTTTACTCTCTTCCTAGTTGTGTCTGCATCAGGATAGTTTTTAGATGCTGGAAGTGTATATGAAAGGACTGGCTACTGGTCAGGTCCAAATTCAAATAAACAGCTTTTTTTTTTTTTTTTTTTTTTGCAGTGGGTTCTTTCTACTCCCTTCTTAGGGCTAGGGAGCATGACACAGGGTGATATGAGGCAACCTGTAACACTGGCTTTATCAGCATGGGCTTTAAGTTGGCTAAACATCCGGGCAAATACAAATGCTGAACATTTTAAAAGGAATGATGTTTGAAAATATGTCAAACAGTGTTTACTCCAAATGTTCTCAGAAAAAGAAAATAACATCAGGAGGGAAAACAGAACTGTTAAAGGTAGGATGATATGATAGCTACCACCTTTCAGGTTGCTGGCATGGTGCTTTGTCCAAGGATCCCAGTTGGAGCCTAAGCTGAGGTTGATGGGTGTCAGAGCATATCTTGTGAAATAGTAGGGCAGAGCTCCTTAAAAACACCCATTTAAGGGAAGAAGGACCCAGGCATTATCTTAGGAGACTGAAGTGACAAGGTGGGCATCAGAAAGAGAGGGGGTGATAATGGGTGACTGATCCGTCATCGTATTCATCATTCAGATTTGTCTCCTAGTGTTGTCTCCACCAGGCTGATGGAGACCTCTAACTCAAAACCTATTGCCGTCGAGTCAATTCCGACTCATAGCGACCCTGTAGGACAGAGTAGAACTGCCCCATAGGGTTTCCAAGGAGCGGCTGGTGGATTCAAACTTGCCAATGTTCTGGTTAGCAGCTGTGAGCTAGTGAACTGGAAATAGTGCTTGGTGAAAGATGGCAGAGCAGCAGTGGTGTATAGTAGTGGGATACCCAGAAAGAGCAGACTTGCTTTTGATCACATGTGAGACACTGGTGGAGATTCATAGAAATAATTGGGGAATTTAACAGAAGGCTGAGTTAATTTAGCAGATGGGGACAAGATGTACTTCAAGATGGGCAATTATAGTCAATGTGCCTCCTTTCTACTTACAAGTGGGTGAAGCCTAGAGAAACTTGTCTAACATAAGGATATAAAATTCAATATAAAAGTCTTAGAAAACAATTGTACTTAAACTTCAAATAATCAGGTAGTGCTAATTTTGACACTCTCTTTTTATCTTCTCATCCTTCTGTTTCTTGTCTTGAAACAAGTACAGGTGTGACCAGGAATAACACCATCACCATTAGTTCCACTAGGACAAAGCCAACACTACCAAAAAATCCCTGAAAACTTAACACACACATACAGGAAAGCAAACTATTTCTCCTGTGGTAACAGGCATTCCAAGAGAATGTCTATTCCTAAAGGACATAGACACTTCTATAATTCTCTGGTTTTTGGAGAATAAGATCAAGTGAAAATTATGGCATTGTATTTCTGTCTCATTAGCAGCAGCTCCACCTAGTTAGTACTCCAAAAGTTCGTATTTGCACAGTAACAACTTTTCAAAATAAAATCCAATACTTACTTGTCTCCCACAATTCCCAAGTTGATAGTAGGGTAACCATGTTCCTGAATTGTTGCTAGGAGGGTTGAACGATTACTATCTCGAATCTTTCCTGGTAAGAGGTCATCTTCGGGATTTAGCAGCTATAAAGCCAAAAAACCACCACAAATTATTCTATTAAGATAATATTGCCTATTATTACTGGGGAAAAAATAAATCTAGTAAACAGTTTAGGATATCTAGCATCTAAAACAGTATCTGGCAAATAGAAGGTATGTGCTCAAAGGATCTCTGAATAACTATTGACAGTACAGGAGGATAAGAAAACTTTCCTCCAGAATTTAAAAAAAAAAAAGTACAAATTTAAATGGTGACTGAACAGCAGGCCAAATATCACAACAGCTTTGGCTACAATTTGACAAGAATGCTTTGGAGATACTGGCGTTCTCAGTAATCAGTTATTGGAACAAACTAAATAAAACAATTCTCTTTTTGCCTCCAAATGTTATTTTCCAATTTGTCTTTCACTGAGAACATCTGAGGTAGAGACTATGTGACGTGATATTCTCATGTCTGAAGGGAATGACTGTTTACCTTTTCTTTCAAGCTTTTTGATCTTTCTGAAATGGGTGCAACAGTACCAATTAGGTTAATCTTATCTGAAGGAGATGGAGGCAAATGCTTTGTTTCTGTTACTACAAACTTAAACAAGTTGACACTTAGCTACACATACCTAAAACTCCATGACTCTGAATGGAAACACCCTGTAGAGATTTAACATCTATTATTGTTTTGTCTATGAAGAAAATTGTAAGATGCTTATTTTATGCTAGGATGTTTCAATGAGACAGTGTGGTATAGTAGGAAGAGCTTGGAATTCACGTAAGGTTCAAAATCAGGTCAGTCAAGCTCCTTATACCTTAATTTTCTCATTTATAAAATACAGTAATAATAACTACCTTGCAGTGTAGGTGTTACAATAACTGAGATAATGGACACTCAGTTAATGCTGATAAATATTAATAAATGTGATTCTCCTTCCTTTCATTTTGATATATGATGTTGAAAAAGCATCTACTTCTTCCTGAATTATTTTCATATTGTTACTCCTAGATGCTAGTGCAGATGGAATTGGTTTATAATGTGAACACAAACTATTAGATTATAAAATACTTAGAGAAGGGTCCTTAACACACACACACACATACACACAAACACACACAACATTAATTTATATATCAGTTTTAAGACGTACTTTGATTTAAAAATATTATAAAGTGAAAAAAGGTACATCTCTGAATTGAGAAAATATGGAACATTATCTTAGGAGGCTGAAGGCAAACCTGCACATTTTAGATGCTTAGGCTGTTAATATGACCAATACTCAGGGCTTAATATTTCAGTGTTCTCAAACAAAACCCTCAAACTCCTTTAATCTTCTTTCTGCAAATTCCTTCAATCTTGCTCCTGACTCTTTAGTGATATCGTGTGGCCAGACTTTTGGCTTTATGCTAGAAAATTAGCAGCTTTGCAACCAACTGTCCCCTTATGATAGGCCGCAGAAAAACTCTGACCATCTTATCCAATGTCACCTGGCAGCCTGCCCTTTAAATGCTAATTTAACTTAATCAGATGTCATGTGAAATCACAAGCCACTTTTATCCTTAGTCACTGCTGGTGCTTGGAAAATTGCTATTGTAGTGCTAATGTAGATTAATTTTCTGATCTTAATTAACACATGGTTATATGAAGTCATTATAATTAAAAAGGCCAAGGCTTGCAGCTCTTTAACTCCATTAATCATACAAGTTGCTTCAGAGAGACAACTGTGTGGTTGTATCATTCTTTTCCCCCCACAGCAGGGTACTGGCCACCAACTAGGTAAGATTTCCTCGGCATTAGGGTGTTTTCATTGTCATTCATGTTCCTCTCCATTATTTTTCTGCAGTTTTACAAATAACAACAATTAGAGATGATATCTGCAAAACTGACATGATGAAATAATAGCTAGTTAAATGAAAATGTGGGATTTACAGTGCATTTTAAGCATTTTCAAGGAAAACATAAAAATGAACAGACGATTATAAGGTTGAATATACTAGAATAGCCACAATTCTCCCCTTAAATCTGAACCTTGTTTTTTAGCAGCTTATACTTTAGCTTCTGGTCATTCTGAAACATTTGCACTAGATGCCTGACACATACTACAATTAAAATACAAAAGAAAAGAAAAAACAAATAAACAAAAGGTAATCCATTATCTCCATACCTTGTCACTTTTTAAAAAGAATTTTTCTTTCTTTTTTATTGTGCTTTAGGTGAAAGTTTACAGAGTAAATTAGTTTCTCATTAAATAATGAATACATATTGTTTTCTGACATTGGCTGCCATCCCTGCAACACGTCAACACTCTTCCCTTCTCAACCTTGGGTTCCCCAATTCCATTCGTCCAGCTTTCCTGTCCCTTTCTACCTTCTTGTCCTTGCCCCTAGGCTGGTATGCCCATTTAGTCTCATATACACGGTTGAACTATGTGTGATTGTTTTAAAAGCTTGTCTAATCTTTGGCTGAAGGGTGAACCTCAGGAGTGACTTCAGTACTGAGCTAAAAGGGTGTCTGGGGGCCATACTCTTGGGGTTTCTCCAGTCTGTATCAGACCAGTAAATCTGGTCTTTTTTTGTGAGTTAGAATTTTGTTCTATATTTTTCCCCAGCTCTGTCTGGAACCCTCTACTGTGATCCCTGTGAGAGCAGTCAGTGGTGGTAGCCAGGTCTGGTGGAGGCTGTGGTAGTTTAGCTGTGGTCCATTAGCCCTTTGGGCTAATCTTTCCCTTGTGTCTTTGGTTTTCTTCATTCTAACCTTGCTCCCAAAGGGGTGAGACCGGTGGAGTATCTTAGATGGCTGCTCACAAGCTTTTAAAACCCCAGACGCTACTCACTTTGGTAGAACATTTTCTTTATAAACTATGTTATGCCAATTGAGCTAGATGTCCCCCAAGACCATGGTCCCTACCCTTAGCCCAGTAACTCGGTCCCTCAGGGCGTTTGGATGTGTCTATGAAGCTTCTATGACTTTGCCTTAGTCAAGTTGTGCTGACTTCCCCAGTATTGTGTACTGTCTTGTCCTTCACCAAAATTACCACTTATTTATTGTCTAGTGTTTTTCCCTCCCCAAACCTCCCCTTCCTCATAACCATCAAAGATTGTTTTTTTCTGTGTGTAAACCTTTTCACGAGTTTTATTCATTTCACTTTTGTTTTTATTTTTCCCATACAAAAATTTATACATACATTGTTATGTGACTCTAATTGCTCTCCTCATACTGTGACAGCACACTCCTCCTTTCCTTTCCACCCCTGATTCCCCATGTCCATTCAACCAGCTCCTAACCCTCTCTGCCTTCCCATCTCACCTCTCGACAGAAGCTGCCCTTTTAATCTCTTGTATCTACTTGAGCTAAGAGGCACACTCCTCACAAGTATCACTTTATGTCCCACAGTCCAGTCTAATCCCTGTCTGAAGAGTTGGCCTTGGAAATTGTTTTAGTTCTAGGCTGATAAAGAATCCAGGGGCCATGCTTTCCAGGGTTCCTCCAGCAGTCAGACCATTAAGTCTGGTCTTCTTACTAGAATTTGAGTTCTGCACCCCATCTTTCTTTTGCTCCATCCAGAACTCTTTGTTGTGTTCCCTGTCAGGGCGGTCATTGTGGTAGCCAGGCACCATCTAGTTCTTCTGGTCTCAGGCTGATGAAGTCTCTGGTTTATGTGGCCCTTTCTGTCTCTTGGGCTACTACTTTCCTTGTGTCTTTGGTGTTCTTCATTCTCCTTTACTCCAGGTGGTTGGGACCAATGGATGCACCTTGGATGTTTTCATGAGTGTTTATAATAGTGGTCTCATACAGCACTTGTCCTTTTGTGATTGACTTACTTCACTCAGCATAATGCCCTCCAGATTCATCCATGTTGTGAGATGTTTCACAGATTCATCAGTGTTCTTTATCATTGTGTGTATATACCATAATTTGCTTATCCATTTATCTGTTGATGGACACTTAGGTTGTTTCCATCTTTTTGCTATTGCGAATAACGCTGCAATGAACATGGGTATGCACACGTCTATTTGTGTGATGGCTCTTATTTCTCTAGGATATATTCTTAGGAGTGGGATTGCTGGATAGTATGGTATTTCTATTTCTGGCTTTTTAAGGAAGCGCCGCATTGTTTTTCAAAATGGTTGTACCATTTTGCATTCCTACCAGCCATGCATAAGAGTTCCAATCTCCCTGCAGCCTCTCCAACATTTGTTATTTTGTGTTTTTTGATTAGTGCCAGTAATTTTGGGGTAAGGTGGTATCTCATTGTAGTTATGATTTGCATTCCTTGTCACTTTCTTATTTATTAAATTTCAATTTCCTGCTTCTGTTATTGGCCATGGTGCTACTATCATTCCAGCTTTGAAACATTTTCTTTTTATTTTTTTCCCTTTGTAGTCCACTTTCTCCCCAAAGGTCTTAATCATTAAGAATTTCCTAATCCTTCTCCTCCTTTACTCTACATTTTAATTCCTCTGCTACCAACCCCTTCCCACCCAATTTCAGGCATTAATTACATTATGTCTGAATTTCTACAAAAGCCTTATAATTGGCAATCTTGTTTTGAAACTCTTTCCTTCTGAGAAATAAAGTAGAAATAACTTGAAAAACTGTACTATTACTTGCATAACAGGTTACCAAACTATGACGAGCAACACAAACTATCTTAAGTCAAACTGTTTTAACACAAGTTTGCTCAGACTTACATGCTTCAAGATAAGACCATGGACAAATTGATTTAACAGCAGCTCCAAATGGAACCATGTATTCCAAAGATATGATTGATTGTTCCAGCAACTCACCTATTTTACAAATTCTAAGCAATCTCTGCCCACACCTTGCTTACTAACATCTACTTTAAAACCACCCCATGACCAAACCCAACCCTCAAAACCGCATGAATAGCCATTGCTGTCAAGTTGATTCTGACACATGAAGACTCCATGTGTTACAAAGAAGAACTGCTTCATAGGGTTTTCTTGTCTGTAATCTTTATGGAAGCACATCACCAGGACTTTCTTCCATGGTGTTGCTGAGTGAGTTTGAGCTGCCA